AGGTCATAAGCAACCAGATCCTCCGCTCTTATTCCGTTTCTTTAGTTTGATTCTTTTCTGATTTACACTGGATTTAAGGTATTTTGGTCTAACAATTGTTATTTCTTTTTTTTATATATATATAAAGATAAAGTGGAAAGAACAATTGTTATTTGTTTGCATGAATTATCTTGGAAACATAAGTAAATTTGATTTGATTTGGTCTTCCTCAATTCACCAAAGTACTTCGACGACAGAAATCAAATTTTTAAAATTTTTTCGATCTAACTTTAAAAAAAAAAAAGAAAAAGAGGGGGGGTGGGATCAGAAATATGAGAATGCAATTCGATTTGTTTGATAAATCTTTGGTGATTTTGCTAAATGTTATGACAATACAGGAATTAGCCTGGCTTCCTGTTTGGCTCTAGCAATTTAGTGAGCCCGTAGAAGACCAAAAAAGAAACAAAAAAAAAAAAAAATTGCTTTCTTCAACCAAAGTCAAAACTTATCTTTGGTCTTTATTAGCGACTTTGTGCCCATTAACACGGAGAGTATGGCTGGGGATCTGGAGCTTTTAGAATGGCAATAGTTAAAACAATTTGGATATTAGATATTTTTTTGAAGATTTTATATTTAAATTTAAGTAGATTTTGTTTTTGAATTAAAAGTGTGATTTATTTCTTTCCGGCTCTAATTTGAATCTTTAGCTTCTTTTTCAGAAATTTCCATAAAAAGATTTCTTTACCAGAAATGCTATCTAGGTGTGCAACGGTTTTGTTGTACTCCTCTTCAACCAAAGTTCAATCCTTTACCAGGGGGAAAGAAAGAATACATTCAAATTTTCTGGACTAGGAATTAAGAAACAAAGGAATTGAACAAATCAAGAACTGGAAGTATTAATTTTTTTAATAGGATCACTGGATTCTTGGAAGTATTTGGGGATTTTTTTTTTTTATTAATTTCCTATAATTGCCATGGAGATGCAAACTTGGGCCATTGGCTAATTGATTTGAAGAACAGGAATTAAGCAACAAAGGAAGTATTAGATGTGATAATTGAGGTTTGGAGGGATTAAAAAAAAAAACTCTAAAATAGTTCTTATTATTTTTTGTTTGTAGTATATAAGATAAAATTAATAACTGCATCTACATTCCTGAAAATTAATATAGAATAGAATATTTTCTCATTAACTACTATAATTCATGTTTAAATAATTTTAGTATCTTATTCACCAAGAATTATATCTAGATAAAAAATAGTTCTTATTATTTTTTGTTTGTAGTATATAAGATAAAATTAATAACTGCATCTACATTCCTGAAAATTAATATAGAATAGAATATTTTCTCATTAACTACTATAATTCATGTTTAAATAATTTTAGTATCTTATTCACCAAGAATTATATCTAGATAAAAAATAGTTCTTATTAATTTTTTTTTTGTATTGAATTACAAGTGGAAATCAATAACTCCCTATCTAAACTAGACAAACGCAATATGCTTTAATTAAGTAATCTAATCCCTACTCATCTAATTATATCAAATATATTTTCTCATTGACTACTACAATTAAATTTAGTATTTTATTTTTAAGAATTGAATCTTACTACTGAAAATATTGATTTATTTCAAAGATCGTAGTTAGACTTTGTCTTTGAATAATTAAAGTCTAATATATATACTTTTTTAAGAAAATTCTATTAATATATCCCTAGATTTTGTCTTGATATGCTCCTTTTGGTGGACTTAGTTATCCTAATTTGACTTTTTCATAAAGTTTAATCCAATAATTTTATATAGTAAATGAATGTAATTAAAATTTTTTATCTAACTGAAAATATTCAATGAGTACCACATATAGAAAGAAAGAAAAAATTTCAACTATCATTATTTACTATATAAAATTATTTGATCAAATGTTATGTGAAAGTAAAACTAAAACAAAGAGATCTAAATGGAGTACTTTTTAAGATAATATGAGAAAGTAAAGGTGAAATGGAAGAAGAAAAGTAATTAAAGTGTCAAATAATGTGAAAAAATATCACTTGATTAAGAAAGATATATGAGAAGAGATCCATACACTAAGTTAAAGTTTGAATTAAAATTTATTAATCTTGAAAAAAAATTAGAGAATTGAAAGTGTTTAATAGAAAGATATGTAGAGAGATAAAGTCTTATTGTAAGAAATTGAGAAAAATATAATATGTGAATTGATATGGTAGGATATGAGGTAAGGAGGAGATGATAAAGAGAGAAAGAATAGCATCAAACAATTTATTTAGTTAAAGAGAGGACAAATAGAGATGATTAACCAATTTTCATAATTTATTAATATAGTAATTAATCATGAAAATTCATCTTTACTTTGAATTTGTCTCAAATTAATTGTTATTTTTTTATTTTTTTTAAGGTAGACAAATATTTTTCCTACTTTAACCTTATCGTTATCTATTTATTTTGATTAATTATCCTATAACAAAAGTCTTATTTTACCTTTTAGTATTTTTCTAAGAGTAATATAGATAAATACATAGATAATCTCTACGTCCTTAATTTAGAGAAAAAAAAGAAAAGAAAAAATAACAGTTATTATAAAATAGAGAAAATATGTGCTTAAATTTTCTTTCATATTTGCCATTCAAACTTTCTTTTTTATGAATTAAAACATTTAAAATTATTAATTATTAAAAAAATATTTATA